ATTTTTTAACATTTTGAAGGACAAAGTATGACACAAACTTCTTGGCAAAATACAAATAATGCAAGGCAAAAGGGGCAAACACATCATGTAATTGGTTACATAAAATCCAAAGAGAAAGCTCCTCGTGGAGTTTATCATTCAGGGATGATTCAGCTTCTACAGGCTGGGGACGTTAGTAACAAGAGATGTGTGCTTTTAAAGGTTATTTTTTTGTTAAACTGAACAATTTAAGGTTAAAAGGAGACAAGAAAGACAAGACAGGGAGGGAGGATGACATATAACAAAGGTCTCAGGGAAGATTAAGATCATCATGAATTCATGGTTGAGTTCTACCCAACAGACTCTGCAGGAAGCCACTCAGTCCATCTGTGCTGACAAACACCCATCAATAATGAAACTAACGGGAAATGAAGAAATTATTTCTCCTGTTGGCGTCAGTTAAAATCCTAACGGCTGCCAGATGTCGGAGAAGTGTTTGACTTAAGCAGGAATGAAGAGAGTTACAGTTGTGTAAAAGACATTTCCAGACTCCAGACAATGAAAATGAGTTACACTTGATTTGTGACTTTTCATTTGAAGTTCAGCAATGTCCCACTCTCTTCACATGAGCATCAAGAATTAGATTAGATTATTTTGTTCTGTAGCCATGCAGAGAGCATGATAGCTCTCAGTGAAATGTTGGGTCAAAATTTTGTCCACTCCTTTGGTTTATAAATGTATTTAATATATTTGTGGAGGGCAAAAAAGTTTTGTCCATAAGTGAGCAGAAAGTTATAGGAAAAATGTAGCAAAGAGAGGCTGGGAGAGTGCAGAAAGTGTACGACCTAAGGCTGAACTTATAAGGGATCCTGCCTGTTATTGTCAGCAGAGGATTACTGTCTGATGAGTTTTCAATTTAAACAGAAAAGGTTGTACAGTACGAGAAAGATAGAAGCTGAACCAATTTACGGCAGCGTCCTTAATGTCAAGCAAAGAATTCATCCACACAAAGGCTGTGCGGAGATATGGAAGGATTTAAACAGAAGTTTTACCTAAATTCACTTAAATTATAGCACTTGAACCAGCCCCCTAATTCTGGGTATTGTTCAAAAACCAGATGTAAAAGTTTTAGAAATGCATTACCTGTCAAAATCACAAGTTCGCCTTACCTGCTTCGTCTGGAGGAAAAAGTTTAAAAGTTTACAAGAACAAGAACACCACCAAGTGAACATGTGCATCGTTGGTCTCAGTCACAAAATGACAAAAGTCAGCAGAAACTGGCCCACCAACGATGATTTCTGAATGGGGACCCTGAGAGGACGGCAACATTTTTGTTATTTTCAATAGCAGAAATACCTAAAAGAGTCTGGTACGTAAAACACAACCCCAGAAGTGAGCATTTTTAGATATAGCATGAGAGAAAGAAAGCCACTTTGAAGCTTTGACACAAGGTTTTCAAAGCCCCGCAGAAGTTAAAGATGCAAGAAGGAGATTCAGAGCAATACACTCGCAGCTGAGAGAGGGGTCGACAGAGCTTTAAAAATAACTGATTGATGGTCGAACATGTGGAAGTCTATTTATTTCCACGCAGTAGGGCTAAAACCAGATGCTAGGACTACATCACACTAGAAGATCATTCCCCACATGATAAGGGAATTCTGAAAGTTTCATTTCATATTAAAACGTTTTAGCTCCTGAAAGGTAGGGGTGAAATACCGACATCTTTCCACCTTATGAAAGTTGGAGCTACAGATTTAACAAGACTGAAGTCAGATGCAAGAGTAGATGTTAGGCAACAACTATTAAAAGCCAGTATTATAACTCATGCAAGGACACGAGAAGACTTAATAGTTCTATGATAATTTTTGGGGTTATGCACAGTAACACTCAGGATAAAAGTAACACAGCATTGAAGAAACTAAGGTGATCCAAAGAGGTTTTTCAGTTTTTTGATTGTCAAAATTGATGACATGCAAAGAGAGATATTCGAAAGAAAGCTTCAGATACCTTGAACCCCATTCAAGCTACCCGCCCTTATCTTATCTTAGTCCCCCTCAACTGAAAAATATTTTTTCTTCTTGTTCCTACAGTTGGATGTCTGACAGTAGAATGATTTTTTCATATTCATCTGCTGAAAGTGGAAAGTTTCTCTGTGCTCATTGAAACTCTGATTATTTAAGGGGCGGGACCTACGAGCATGATTTGTGACATCACAAATAGTTTGGAAGTACATCCTGGTCCAAAAGCAGTTTATACAAGTGTGATGTAGAAACTGAAACTGCTTTAGAAAATTGAGTTTTGTAATGAGGTAGAACGAGTTGATGGCTTTTTAAGGATTTTAATATGAAAGTTTCAGAAAAAACATATTATTGTCCCAAGCAGACTTCTGTATGTCGTAATACATGTCAAAGGTAATATCTTTTGAAAATACACTTATTTGTGTTCTTGCAGTGGTTTCCAACCATTTTCCTTAAGAGACCCCTTTTCTAAGTTACATATTTCAAATGATATATGAACAATATGGAACAACTAACAAACTGTATAATGAACCCAAATAGCGAACACAATAACTGAGGGAAGTTTGTGTAAAACTAGCAGTTTGGATGAATTTTGTGCAGATTATTTTCTGTAAATTTAACACCTGAGGTGAGTTTTCTGAAGTTTTTATACAATTATATGTCTGTATTGTGTATTTGTATTGTTTAACAATAATATATTCTATCTAAGCAAACAATTTAAGTAATTTACTTCACAGAATTGGACAATATGCTGAGGTATGGGTCTACTGTGTATATTTTTTAAGTTGTCTTACAGCCCTTAAAATCAAGAAAGCCTTGCAACCCTCCGTGAAGCTTTGGTGGCTCCTAGTGGGGATCCCGACCCCCAACCATTGAGCTATACCACTCTCATTTCTTTATGATAAAAACGATAAATTAAGCTATAAAGCCAGCTGCTGCTCAGCCTGGCATAAAGACTGGGGACAGGGGTAAACAGCTAGTCTGGCTGTGTCCCAAAGTACGCTGTAATATCGTAAACTGTTGTTTTTACACTGAAGTTAGTGATCTTACATGTGCGGGAAGGCATTTTTTACGAACCGCCTGCTTTACTGTAGCGACACATTAGCTTACAGATATTAGAATGGTAGCAATTTTCTCATATAAGTGTTTTTTCCAAAATGTCAAGCAATTTCTTTAATGTGTTTAGCTCAAAGTAAGCTTTAATGGCCTTATTTCTCCTTGTTTTGAAATGTTTTCAGAGTAAAGCTGCCATTGTGTTTGTCCTTAAGTCCTTGATTCAAACAGAAAATGGCCAGGTTAAAGAGAGCAAACAAAATCACTGGGTCAAAGAAGCAACCAAACTGAATGAATTCAAATGACTACTGGCACTTTGGATGAGCCACTTTTAACAAGGCTGTTGCAAACAAAATGCTGGGGTGCATTGACCTCGCTGTCTCTTTGGCACACTTTGTCTTAGTAACTTGTGGTGCTTAGTGGTTCTTTTTGCTATTCCCATCGAGATAGTAAGTGTGTTAACGTAGCTGCCTTGATTTCTTTTGATGACATACATCAGTAAAGTTTGAGTGCTACATTATCAGTGTATTTAGTAAATTAATATTTGTACAAACAGTAAGTTGAAAAGGCATTTTTGTATAGCCAGGATTAATGCAGTGGCTCTCAACATGGGGTCCTTAAAGGAGTTACAGGGGGTCCCCAGGCAAAATGATGAATTATTAATTAAAAATTATTACTTCTTATTTCATTTACAAGAATTAAACACAATTAGAGAATGTCTAAGAACAACTGTTCTGGTAATAGTTTCACTGTGATCTCTTTCCTTGATATGAAAAAGGTCACTGGATTAATGGACGCATTGGTTTTCTTTGGCATGATGCATTTGAGCCCATACATTTTGGTAATTTTGTGTTTTTTTTGCTTTGAGCTGTCTTTCAAACACTGAGGCTGTTTTTACCTTTGCGGCTCCGCTCTGCCTCTAGAAATGTTTGTTTAACTAAAACTCAAGGCTGCACAGAGAATTCCATAAAGCATAATACATCTGCAACAGGCCACAAAAAGTTGCCGGATAGATTTAGTTGAAATCCATAACAGCGCTAAAAACATCATCTCATCAGATTTTGCAGGAAAATATAATTTCAGGATGCTGAGTGGGTGCCTGTCACTGAAGTATGAAGCTAAAGCTTTCCTAACAATCACACCTTTCCCAGTCCTCTGATGATACCTTTTCATGCTCTCTGATGGCAGTGCTATGCTGTGATATAGTAGCGGTCCATCATTGTTACCCTCCCAGATGCACACAACGCTCTAATCCTGAACGAGAAAACAAAACAAAAGGGACATCGCTGATCACAGGCCTGTAACCACACAAAGTAAAACCATCTCTCAGGTACAGTGTGCACTTAGGTGTTTGAGTGCCTCTATTTATAACCTCTATTGCTCCTGACAGGGTGGTGGTTATTGGAAGAGGTATCGTATTCTGTGTATAAACCTTTCTATACCGCGAAAATCCTATGTAAGCCGAGTTTTGAGTCTGGGAGTTAGATAGCACCGGCTCCCTCAGCCAACTATGAGGAGTCAGCAGTAAGACTGGCTCACAAAATCTCCCCTGACCCATCTCTCCCCTCTCACCACCCCCTTCCGCCATGAAAATGCATCAAGGCCTCCTGCCATGTCCACAGAAATTAATTTGTGCCAGTATCCATGAAGGTTTGAACATGCTCCGGGAGGCTGGCAGGCTTCAGCACAGATTTGAAGGACTGAGTTACTTCAGCTCTATATTGATTTCCATGTTGTTGTTGTTGTATATCTTGCTGTTTCTTACCAGAGGCAGCCCTGAAATCCAAGACACTATTTTTTTTTTTTTTAACTGATTGCAATGTAGCCCACCACTACAGTGCCACCCCTAAGCACTAATTAGAGAATGATTCCTGCTGATTGAACGCCATTATGCTTTCAGGCTTAAATACCAGTGAATGGGTTAATGTCCTGTGGTTTGACGCAGGAATGGTTAACAGGAGGACAGGCAGCAGGTGGAGAGACATGCAGACTGATGAGCAGCAGCAGCAGCAGCAGCAGAGGAGCCACTGTGTGCTGACAGTTAGGGCTGAGCTGGGGAGAAACAAGCACCGATTGCCGTCTCTAATTTGTCCCTGCAGCAGGCAAAATTGTTCTAATTGCAGGATGGAGGCGGCTTTTTAAAGGCATGGTTCCTGCCTGTGCCGTTGAACGGGACGCCGGTGAATAACACTTGCAGTCAATTTGCTGGGTAAATGACTTGAGTAACTCTCATCGAAGTCAGCGAACAGAGAAAGCGGTTATATGGGAAATGAATGTGACCGGGAAACAGCAACCTGAGCTGATCGAGCGACCCGCCAGCCTTTTGGTTCCAACTTCGGCAAGTAAACACATTAATGCAGGTTTATTTGAATGTACGTAAGTCACAGATCAGTTAGCCCCATTCCCGTGAGATGTGCTATGTGTAGGGGCAGTTACAGAGCACAGACGCCGTTTTATTCCTTTATGTACAGAGGGAGCTCCAGACTGCCTTTAGAAAACCGTCTGTTTAGTGTTTCCTTGCTTAGAAATACTTGTGAATACTTAATAGGCTTTGTGGTGACACCTTTTCCAAATAAGTTGCCGTGTCTGCACATTTCGGCGTACATTTGGGAAACTATGGTGGTCGTACTCGAACAAACGTATAACTTTTTAAAATATCGTTTTGTGTCATTAGCTGTCTTCCTCCATGCCGCGAGCGTACAGGGCGGAAGCGACGGGTGTGTGCGTTGCTACAAGTTTTGAGCAAAATCTATTGAATTGTGGCAGTGCTTCGTTTATTATTTATTATTATGTCGATGCCGAATCCACCAAAAGACCATGCTCAAATCCCCAATCTTCTTTGTCTTGTTGTACGGTAGATGTAATTTGAGCAATAAGCAAGTACAGTTTAAACTACTAGATATTTGACTGCAGGCTGGTATGACGTTCCTTCCATTCGATGAAACGGCGCGTTTTGGTTGATTCTCAGCTGTGGTTTGATAGGTTGCGAGTTGTGCTGTACAGACTCAAACACTTAAGTAACTTAACTCTTATATGCCGACTCTTTATAGACGCCCAGTAGTTAGTCAGTACTATCTAACAATAACCCCACTTAGGATATGTTGATTACCACCTGTATATTTTTCTGTATGTGATCTAAAATAAATTTCATAAGTGCCAGATTCATGTATCCCTGCTGGTTGTACTGCTGCAGCAATTATATTATGACTGTTATTACCATTATTTTCCTTTGTCAGACACACTGAGCTGAGCTTTCTTAAGGGCTTCACATTTAATTGGGTATTGTGGTTAGGCTACTTGAACAAGAAAACAAATGATTTTGACCTTTTTAACAGCCTTTGATATTCACTGTGTAGGCTGCTTCAGGCAAATTCCAACACACAGGCCTGTGTTGCCTAAAATGTAACCAAGCACGGTCTAATCAGAAAGAAGGGAACAATTTCAGGTTACATTACACTTGATGATGAGGATGATTTGTCTCAGCCAGCCTGCATCCATCCATGGACACCTTGCATTGACTTCCTGTACCTGGTCAGTTTTATGCAAAGTTTTGTGAATACTTTCTTTTGTTGAAAACACCCTCTTTGGCTAAATGTGAGCCACCATTTGCTGCGCATACAGCTGTCGATGTGTTATTGCCTTCACTGGACACATAGCACCTTGATTTTCATCAGTCCCCGGAGTCCTGCATTGTGGGCACTTTCTGTTCACAAAGAATTTGCTTTTAAAAACTGAATACCTGAGCCTCAAGGGACACGAGTCTGCAGCTTAAATCTGCTTAGTGTGTTCAGTTTTCACACGTATCCCACTCTCTATTTACCACTGACTGACGGCTAAAATTATACAGTAAGCAGAGTTTCTTTTGCAATAGACTCTCCCACAAACAGTACTGCCTGTGAGGCTTTCACTCCATCATGCATATTTTTGATCACCTGGTGTGCAGTTTCAGGGTGTTAAGCATGGACTTGATTGTGCTTCCAAAGTAATTAAACGCAGGATTTTGCAGGTCTTACACAGTGGTAAACAGAAAGGGTTTAATTATCTAAGTTTTAGGGTTGAATTAATGTTAAATATAAATGCTTTGGTTAATACTGCATACCCAATGATGGAAAAGTCCAGACCTAGGTTTTTTTTTTTTTTTTTTTTAACACAAAGTGCATCCATAGTGCTTAGATAAATACAGCTAGGCCTCATGTCAGGGCACCATTTATTTCCTAGGCTCCTGTTTTTACTATGCTTATTCATGTCAACTGTCACATTAACTTATGGTTTCTGCAAGAGACCTTTAGTTAAATTCAATAGGCATAAAAACAGGGCTTTAAAAATCATCATAAAACTAGAATTTTTGAGACTAGTTCAGTAATTGGCAATCACTGATAAATTAGAAAGAAGAGCTTCCAGTCCAAACACAAGCAGAACAGTGTCTACAGTGTGTGCATCAGTCTGGCTGTGTGTTTGAATTGTATGTCAGGGTATATTAGTGCTGTGATGGACAGGCAGCATTTGCAGGGTGTTTTCCTGCCTCCCCACGCTGGGAGACACTTCATCCGTCTTAGTTCAAGCAGTATCTTTGTCATGTGAAGGCTTGAAAATGCACTGTGTACGTTTCTGTAGACATAATTCTCTCCTGGATTGTGAATTCATTAGAAACTGTGTGTAAAGTCCTTCCTAAATTCTTAGTAACAACGAGAGATTTAGTTAAATGTCCTAACAATTTACAATACTGTGTTCACCATACAAATTTCTTCTCTCTCTCTCTCTCTCTCTCTCTCTATATATATATATATATATATATATATATATAATCAAAATGAGATTGAAGACAAATTGACTGTAAAATTTGTATAAAGAAAATATTCTTTATCAAATTATAGAATCTTTTTGAGATGGGGTATAAACTGTGCAAAATAATGCATACTTCCTTTTCTTTGTTCAAGTTAAACTGATGTCTTTGTGCCTTTTTATTCCATGATTGATATCACGATTCATTTTTCATCTCACTGATGTGAATCTTCACACATTTGTTTTGCGATTTAACTGTCTCGCAATACATCTTTACATGCCTAGTCTTAGCTAATATGGGCTTAACTTGGTTTCCTGTACTCACTGACTTTTGTGTGAATTTCTGGTTGCTAGAAAACATCTGGATGTTGCACCAGCTGTTTGTAAGTTCAAAGTAAGCCTTGTTCTAACATAGCCCAACTACTTCTATGTAGAGATTAGTTGTTATATTGGTAGTCTTGTAGACAGTAAAGTACAGTTTCTTTTATTTATTTTTAAAAAAATCAGCATTAGGTGGGGATACTGTAATGAATGTACTTTGTGTAACATTGCTCTTGTTTAAATAAATTTTACATTTTTGAACAGATGCGTTAAGTTGAAATGGCAATTGGTATGAATATAGTTATCTTAACTTGAAATTGTAAGTTGAAATAGTATGGAACACTAAGTTTGTTTGACTAGATAAAGCAAGTTTTCTTGAATGGATAATGTAACAGAGTAAGTTAACTCAGAGTATCAAGTTTAAACAACAAATGACCATTAGTTAAACAACTTTTATATACACAACTTGTATTACTTAAGGTTTTGAGTTGAAACAAAAGCTTACCTTCAAGTTGCCTACACACTGACAAACTGACAAAACTAATGTTAACTTCTTAACCCTTTTTGAACTCTGCAATAGAAATAGGTTGCCAGTGCCTGCATTGGTATTTTTGCTTAATGTGATTTCATTTCTTGGAGTATCTAAAAATGATTCATATCCCCAAAAGCTGTACAACCTTAGCTATAAGGTTATATAGGTCAACAAACCAAGTGTTACATTTAGTCAAACATTTAAAACATACATTCATTGTCAAGTGTTTAGTAGTATTCACAGTTTCACAGTGGAAAATAACGGATTATGCTAGCCTAACTGATGCTATTTGGTCTATAAGCTAAATGTTATTGGCATAACTTTTGTATTTTGGTACACCGTTTTATTTGCAGGCTCTGATTGGACAACTTTTTGTCTGGCAACACAGGATGGAACTAAATTTTTAATTTCAACTTCAAACTAGGCTAAACTTATGAACTTATGGGACAACTGGTCTATTGCAAGTTAAATTCTAGTATGTAACTAGAACCAACTAAACCATTTGTTTTAATATGTAACAATTTCTCATGTACAGGTGCTCACTGCCGGTCCTCCTGAGAAGTACAGTGAGCATGACGGCTTCCTCTGTCAACACAAATGTGAGCAAATTTACAATGATGGGATAATTATTCACACACGGCCTTACAGGATTGCACCGACGATTGGTGATATCGATGTGTTGGTCAATATAACCTTTACAGAAGGAACAAGCAGCAAGGACAACCCAAAACTCAGATCAGTGTAAATAGGATTAAATAAAGGGTGATGTTATTTGGTTATCAGACAATCAAAACCCTGTCCCTTTCTAAAGGCGTAAAAAATAAGTGACATGTATGCCATATAAAATTTCCATCCCCCTGTGGACACATGCCTCAGGATCTCTCTTGGCAGGAGCTGCAGAAGCGTAATTATACCCCAGTGGAGTGTGAAAGACGATGCTTTTATATTCAGGAAGTCAATCATATTTTAACCAAATCACTCTTGTTGGAGCATGAACATGTATTCTCTTTAACTTTTCATTTCCCCAGAACTACTCAGGTAATTGGAAAGGACACCAAACAATCAGACGTTGTATTGTAAAATTTAAATTCAGTTTCTTTTTAAAAAAAGTTACATTTAGTGCCTTTCATTGCCTGAACAATATTCAATTTTCCTCCCATTATTGGAGTCAGGCTCTTCAAAATGAATGGTCTAATTTAATGATCCTAGAGCAAGACTGCATACACGTGGCACATGTTGTTTGACACCTCCAAGCATTTCCCCCTCATGCTGTATTAAATGTTTAGTAAAAATGTACAAAGTCATTATATATAGATATCGCCTCCTGTCAGATGGCTCCACAATTTTACTTTAATCTCCTTATGGCATATGGACTAATGGCAGGAACTTGAGGAGCCCATGAGAGTTGTGATGGGCCAAAGGGCAGACTCCAGTGTTCTATCATAAATTAGTCTTTTTTAAAGCTTATAATTAGTCCCAGTTGGAAGTGCAAAGATACATATATGATACAGTATTATGCACAGTCATATTCCATTATTCAACCAACTACAAAACCAGGCAGTAATTATAGTCTTAATTAGATGGTGTTTTAATTTTTAAAATGTCAAGAGAATATGTAGTGTCATAAATCCTGATACATCAAAACAAGTTGCGCTGTCAGTTTAGAACCTTTTCTTGAAATGTTTCCTTAGCAAATGAAAGAAAACTCGTCCTCTGCATTATTAATACCCACAGCGTTTCATTAGCATTTTTATTTAGATTCAAGGCAGGAAACTTATGCATTTTAATGTCCCCATTCATTTCCAAGTGAGATATAAAGAAATCTACCTTGTCCCTTCACCAGCTGATAGTGGATTGTTGTCGACACTTTTCTTACCACTTCAGAAGACTGCATTTAAAAAGAAATCCACTAAAAGCAATAGTTGTTTGTTTTTTTTTGTCCCAGATTCGTCCTTGAAACGGGAATGGAAAAACTTATGGAAAATATTAACAGTCCCAGATTAGTTCCTCAAAAACTAAATTCACCCCAAATTACTCCTCCCATAGTGCCAACATAATACCCAATTCCCACTCAAACCCAACAGAATGCATTAGTTGATTGTGTGTCGGTGTCTGTATTGTATCTATGAAAGCGAGACAGAAAACGGAATTATGACGGCATAATGCGCAGAGAAAAGGTAATTTTTAGAAAATGTGCGGCCCAGAATAGTTGGACTAATTTCCTTCATCTAGCCGTTCATCTCTTTACTCTTACAAAACCACATGCAATAAGCTCACACATGTTGGACGGATTTGGGGAAACTGCGGCTACAGCATCACACAGTCGGCCGTGCTGTTATTTGAGCAGTAGAGCTCTGCGACAAGCCTTTTCAAACAACGAATATACAATAGAGAGGAAATACATCAAGTGGCTTTGATTCCCCACAGAGCCTCTCTGAGTGGAGGATTGAACAAGGATGATTGCTGAAGATATAATACCACATTTCTGTGAGTTCTGTGCATATGAGGATAGCTCAATCTGTTCCTCCAGCTGATTGACCTTCCAGGATATTGACATACCGTGCTGCATACGGTTGATTTACTGATGCATAGAGAAATTATCTACTTAATGCATATACGTAGAGTAATTTACCTACAGAGCAATTTTAAACCGGGATTGGTGACATAGAAACATCAAACAACCATGTTTGTCACAAAGAACCAAACTCCCGCTTTATCACACACCTGTTTGCTTTTCTGCAAATCCCTTCTTTACATTTCTAATCTTTCTGTTCAGACAAATATTTATTGCTTAATTCTGGAATATAAAACATATAAAACTGCATTTTAAAATGCTCAGCACCCGCATTATTGCATGTGAAAATGATTAAATTAATTCTCCTTTTGTCATTTTCTAAGAAATGTCGTTTTGAGAAATACACTTTTTTTCTCTGTTAGAAAAAGGCAGACAATAAGGTGAATAACAGTAACAGATGAACAGTCTGAACAGTTACAAAACTAAGAGTGGAAAACAAACAAATATAAATTTGTTTGTTTTCCACTCTGTTTTTTATATATATATATATATATATATATATATATACACGCGCCAGGGAATGGTAAACTTTCCAAAGCCTATTACATACTATAACGTTTGTTTTTCCATTAAAATATCAAGAACAAAGTGAAAAGTCATTTCAAGATACACTAATTTGCTCTCTTGCCAAGAGTTAGATGAAGGATTGATGTCAGTCTTGTGTCTATACTCTAAATATGAAGCTGTTTTAGCCGGTTAGGTTAGCTTAGCTTAGCAAAAAAATTGGAAAGCTGGTGGCTCTTTCCAAAGCTAACAAAGTAAACATCCCAGCACCTGTACATTTGACTTATTATTAACCTCATATCTCGCCTGTTTAATCTGTACAACAACAACAATTTGTGCTTTCATGGACTCTCACTGGGCCCAGCATGAAACAGTCTAACACATAACCTCCATAAAACCACAACATGTCTTTACCCATCAGTTTTTTAAAACGAATTAAACAAACAAGAAATAACATGGTAGTTTGTTAGCTTTGCTTTGTTGTAGCTTCATACAGTATTTAGCATTAGAGTGATATCGGTCTCATTTAACCCTCAGCAAGAAAGTAAATGTTGAGCGATTCCGTTAAGCACCAACGCTGTTTTTGAATAGTACTTTGAGTTAAATGTAAAAGAAGAAAGATTTACCTAACAGTATAACATATTCTCTAAAGCAGTGGTAAATGGACCTGTACTTGTATAGCGCCTTTCTAGTCTTCCGACCACTCAAAGCGCTTTTACACTACGTGCCACATTCACCCTTTCACACACATTCACTCAGTGATGGTAAAGTCCATCGAACAGAAACTAACATTCATACACACTCACACACCGATGCACGGCATCAGGAGCAATTTGGGGTTCAGTATCTTGCTCAAGGATACTTCGACATGTGGCAACAGGAGCCGGGGATCGAACCCACGACCTTCCGATTAGGGGATGACCCGCTCTGCCTCTGCACCACAGCTGCCCGTAATGATGGTAGAATGTACCTAAGTACAGTTACTCAAGTACTGTGCACAAGTACAAATTCAAGGTACTTATTTTTGAGTATTTCCATTTTATACTTCTACTCCACTCTCTCAACATCTCAGATGCAGATGTTGTACTTTTTACCCATTTTTCTGACATAGATTACAATTTTCCATACCCTTTCTGTCCAGTGAAAACCATGTCTCCAAATTTGGTGGAGAAGGACAGAAATGCTACACAGATTTGGGATATTTTTGTATCTTATAGAATAAGATAATGTATATGCAATAGTATACAAGGTAGTTAAAATGAGCTAAATCTTTAACATCTACAGCAGTAAAATGGAAAAAATGCCGCAGAAATATTAATCCAAAAACGCCAGTGACGTGGATAATTTAACAACACAAGTACTTTTTACTTTTGATGCTTTAAGTACATTTTGCTACTAATACATTCTGTAACTGAAGTAAGGTTTAAAATAAATGTCTTTTACTTGTAGCAGAGTATTTGCAGTGTGTTATTGCTTCTTTTACCTAAGTAAAGGATCTGAATACCTCCACCACTGATTGTAAAGAAACAATTTGATCCATAATAAAAATTAATAACATTTCTTATGAAACACCTTCACTGTAACTCCAGTGTAACCAGTGCAAGTCTGTGAAGAGTCACGCAATGAGTATTTACTGTACCACAGTCAGAGGCTGCTGCAGGTTTACCCAGCATGTCTGAGTCATAAGCTCCGGCTGTTTACAAAAATACATTAAAAACAGCTCGCGGAGACATACTGCTGCATTGATGAATATAATCCATCACTGTAAATTAGATGACTGGTGGCTTTTCCTTATACAACTGTATAGAAACCCAACTTTATAATGATCATTGCAGTGGCATTTAAAGAAGGTCTGTTCTGCAGTTACTGAATGTGAAGACAGGTTTTCACATTTAGTTTTGCCTCTCCGCTGCTGCCAGTCTTATGTAAGAGTGTGTCCTGATGGAAAGAAGTGAAAATGGCTCCACTAAATGTGGTAATTAGCAGAGTGGTAAAGCCATGTTTGGTGAAATCACCAAAATTGTCTCATTTAAAATGATGGATTATTCTCATCAGTGCAGCTATATCTCTGGGCTGTTTTTAATGGATTTTTGGAATATCCAATTAATTTTTTTTAACCTTTTTACTTTTAGGCTGCCAGGCAACTTTGCATATTGGTATTTGCAAACAAGAGGTGACTTTGCTACAGTTTGGCATGATTTTCAAAAACGTGCATGTTTGCAACTTAAGAAATGTGCGTGCTGGCAAAAATGCAGACTCTCAGTTTGCAAAATATATGTGCTTGCACTTTTCATGTGAAAGCCAGACTTGTCTGCATATTAACTATCGCAAATAAATGAGAATGTTCCCCTTATCCATCTATTTCTGATATTGTCATAAATACAGCAAATACTGTGTCACTTTTTGCTCCACGTTGTAGCTCTCTGCTTGGATTTCTAAGATGATTAATATTAAAAAAAAAAAAAAAAAAAAACTAAACTTTTCTAAAAGAAATCCCAGGCAAATTTAGATGATAAATCGACATCCTTGTGAAAGAGTAAAAATGTACACTCATAGCTATTTCACTGCTGACACCACCCCGGGGTTTTTTTAATTGACCTCGAAAAAGAGGACAAGCTGAATAGAGTGCTGGGTTTTCTTTTTTTTTTTTTTTTGTAAATCCTCTGTTCTAAATCTCAGTGATTTTAAATGTGGTGATCTTTTTAAAGGATGCAGATGAAAGTGCTCAGCTTGACAAAAGTATTAATCGTGACTCCTGCCAACATCATCCAGTACTGGTCATCCATGCAGCTCATCCAGTTCACACCTAAAACTAACATGCTGTCCTGCTGCTGAGGTTGCATGTATCCAAACATCTGCCTTTTAAGCTCATTAGCTGACCATAATGAGACCACCAGTATCTGAAACTACATGTTATCTATTTGCAGTCTTTTTTGGGGTCATTACGCATGAAGTGGGTGTTTAGTTTGATTTTTCAGTCCAGTCAATATTTCATACTCATTAACAACCTCTGGGTTCAAATGAACATGGGTTTTATTGTAGTCAGGTCTTTAGCCAGGGAGAGAAAATTGGCAGTGATGTCTGGCTATGGCCCAGAAGCAGTTCCACTGATCAAAACTTGTGAATCATGGCTGAAACTGTATGAAATCCATGATGAGGTGTTTGTCAGTGTTAAACTGAACTGATGGAACTAACGTGCGATTTTCTACAGACGCCTGTAAGTGGATTAAGGCGAGACCTTTTTGCTGCATTCCACTTCTTATACTGTATGTGCAGGTTTGATGACTGTTCCAGACGTTATTTGATGGATCTGGACAAATGTGTGCGTTTGGATAGTGTGCTCTGGCTGCTGGCTATGTTTGTGTATCAGTACTGTGCCTGAGTGAGTGAGTGAGTGAGTGTGCGTGTGTGTGTGTGTGCGTGTGTGTGTGTGTGTGTGTGTGTGTGTGTGTGTGTGTGTGTGTGTGTGTGTGTGTGTGTGTGTGTGTGTGTGTCTCTCTGTCACTTGACAGTTGTGGTGCTGTTCAAGGTTATCAGTGTCTGGAAAGTTTTCTTCCACTGCAGCCAAAGAACTCAAATGTCAACTATCTTTACATCAGGAAGGAGAGATCAAGGAGGCAGAAATATCTGGGTTATTAAGATATGCAGGGAAACCATGCTTTATTAAATCACTGTATGTTATTAGTTAATAAAGCCATAGACACACTATTAAAGTCCAATAAATAAATGAGCTAATATACTACAAGGAACTGAGGGAGCCTAAATGTTTCTAGTGTTCATTCAACCAGGCTGGCGTGTGGCAGTGTGAAATCAACCACATCCTAATCATCATATTAAGTCAACACATTAGTAAGATGCCAGCTGTTATGAATGATGTTCAAAAGCTCTTGCGTAAGCGAAAATATTTTTCAGGGAGGCCTAGATGTCTGACTTCATGTCTGAGCAACAGTTAACCTTGACTTTGATTAGACATGTGGCCAGATAAATGCACTTGGGGGCCCTGGGGCAAAAATGAGCTAGGCCCCTGTCAAAACCCATGTTGCACACAGCTCCACTGTCTCTTGTGTTCTGTAACCTTCAAGTAAACAAACGGAACATATGTTAGCAGCATATATAAGAATATGAACTTAAATGAGAAACCTATTGGAACTAGTTTTTGACACAAGGTCCTCCCACTTAGGGATGCGTTCTAATAGCCTGTTTCATTTTGGATGAGATAAGATAAGCCTTTATTGATGCTCAGAGGGGAAATTCAGGAGTTTGAGCAGCACAATGGCACAAAGAGATGGTGATAGAGAAAGTAAAACTAAATGATTACAGGTATGTAAAATAGAATAGAAACAAAAATAGAAATGGTGCAAGAGCAATTGAAGTCATAATTACAAGGCAGGCAGTACACAGTCCCACATGACCAGTGTTGTACTAATACTGAGGTTCAAGTCAGAACTTCTATAACAATATACACCACAATGATGATATATGTGACTAAACTAGGATACTTTTGTTTGTCTGTATTAATAGAATAGAAATCTAATATTGTGTATATAATTTAATGTAAATAACAATAATATAAAATATAAGTATTATATAGCACTTCAGCAATAGCCTTTATTTCACTAAACCCACATTTTTACTGAATTGTTAAATGTAACTTTTACAGTCATTTCACAAGAACAAGGCATTTAAAAGGCCATGCTCAATACATACAATACAATACTTACATCACATCAACTACAGCTGCGTAACATTTTAGACCTTTGGGCCAAACTTTATAGGAACATGGGAGTTTTTAGTTTGAAGTGTCCCCAAATCTTAACCCTGATCTGGTGCACCCCCATGGATTTTTTAATAGGTTAACATCACTCTATGACTGCTAGTGGATGGTAAATTAATGAATAAATATTCGACTGTCATTTACCTCAGAGCTGCCTACAGGACAACCATTTACATTTCATACAGATGCAAGAGAAAAACAGAAAAGAAGGCGGTAGGTGGTTATGTAAATATCTTGTATGCATAACAAGCTTATCCACTCACTAGTTATCCATTGGGATCTCCAATATAACATGTCTTATTCTGCACCTCTAATTTACAGATGGTGGCTACAGGTTGTGGACATTAATTAGGCTGCCACTAGAAACGGTCTCTGCCTTCCCGATAACAAAAGCTGATTACAGATTAGTTTGAATCTTATAGGTTTCATTATTTATAACTTTAGTTCCTTGCGAATAAAGAAAAATTCTTAATTACATTTGATAGGGGATTTGAAACTATTTGGATTGGGTAAAGAGATTTGCTAATGATGCAGGACCTGGTAAAAGTGTCTGTATGTTTCCGGCTGTGGAAGTGTTTTAGCTCTAAAGGGAAAACTAACTGTGGTCTGTAATGTGGCTGTCCTGACAGTAGTGCCCCATTTTCATTGAACTTGGAATGTGAAACTTACTGAAATAGTCGATAAGAATGGCTCTTAACAGCAATTTTTAGCAAGAAAAAAAAAAGCATCCTGGTACTCATGGTCCACTGGGCATATACAATGATTTTTTCCACTTCAGTTGTGCCAAGCCAAGTAAGATCTCACTCTGATCCACTACTTTCAACCCTGAAAAGTGTACTTTACCCCCTCCCACTGGAGCCACAACTGTGATACCTTGGTACAAACACTATAAACAGTTGAGCTGATGGTTGAGACAGTTTGCAGCCGCTGTCTCACAGAATTTATAGAGGTGCTAGTGTTTCTAAAAAATCATGACATTTCTCTTCCTGTTGTAAAAAGACTGTTGGTAGTTGTGCTGTTTGCTCTGGCAGAAAAAAGCAGTCCTCTCTGTTTGATGCTGCAGCAGATATACTATAGATATTCCATGAAATCTGGTCAGCTGCACAGCAGGGACGTGCAGAGGATGTTAAAGGGGAGGGGGCCCAAATTCAGGAAAGGAAATTTTTGCCTGCAGCGAGGAGAGCGTTGAATGTTTAGTCAGCATAAAGCCTAAATAAAGACCAGCTAAATCTCCTGTGTGGCCTAACTTAAACAGCCAACAGGTTCATAAATTGAAACTTTTTTTCCGACCACAAATACTACCTTAGTCTTCACCACTGAACAGCTTGTCTGCTGGTTTTTATTCAGAAATAGCAACATGTCGACATTGTCTGGTATGCAGTGTGTTGACTATGAGACCAGCAGTGGAGGATACCCACAGATGGTACCAATGTCCCGGGAACGCAGAGATGGCATCTTGCTACTGTTGCCAACCTTTCCACCAGTCAATGAGGGGTGATCGTCTCTAACATAGGTGTCCACCTCCACCTCTGGGTCATTAGCTTGTTGAGGGATGCTGTAGTCGCCTCCCAGGAGCGATATCATTACATTTTCCTGGCGGTATTGTGTGACTCCAGCCTGGGCAGCAGGGGCCGCTTTCTCATCTCCCCCTGTAGCGACAGTACCAGGATCATCATCATCATCATCAGTGGCACTGGCCACTTCCACAGTAGAACAGATTTCCATTATCTTTTGCAGCTTCTCTCTTGGTGGAAAAATCCCCCAGATGTGTATGGCGAGGGTCCAGGACAGAGGCGATCAGTGCTGGTTTGGCCACCAACTCATCTGTGTCAACCTGTGGTGAACAATATAGTCTAATTAATGTGATAATGTCCCTCTTAACTGATAACACACTTTTATGTCAGTGATAATCACAGTAATGTGCTGAAGTGAATGGGCAAAACAGCCACTCCCAGGTCATCCATCCAGGAGAGTTCGCAGCCATGATGTTGCATGCATTGTTGTGGACACATGCAGCCACTTTCCCATAAGTCCTCAAGTCTCTGCTGCACCAATTTAACACTTTAACCTGCCAGTCCTCATCGATTTTTGTGGCGTGTAATTGTCATGTAGCTCTCCATTGAGGGCGCTGTCCAGCAGTTGGTTGTAAGGACCCCAAACCTAGCACTACTAAATTGCGTTTTCAGTTTTTTTTTTTCTTAGCAAAACTAGCTTTAATACGACTTGTAATAGTTTGTCTTGATAGGGTTTGTGATTAGGCTCCATATGGGTCAGTAGCTCTTGAAAACCCTAAATCTTGTGTAGTTTCTCAGAAAGAACATCAATGAATGGATACCACATATTCCTATTGTAGTCTTCCACTGGCTGGAAGGAGATGCTCTCTGTCTTTATTTGCAGGCACCCTCCTCTGCTTTTTCTGTCATGGGGGCCTGTTGGGATGCTGATCCCAGCGGCTTCTGCCTTTTCAGTGGCATTCTTAAACAGTGTTCCAAACTGTCCTTCTGTCCTCAGGTTGGACAAGGTGTCCACACTCCAATATACAATATATGCGGTGAACAGGGCTGTACCCTGAGTTTGTAGGGGTCAAAAAAACAACGCAATGCACATACAGAACCTTTGTCATTGTGTTGCAGTATTCTTGATTCCAGTTCTTTTGTGTTGACCACTCATGCTAGCATCGATACCATAGCCTTGACCACGTGTTTTATGGATCAGTAGGACATGTCTCCGTAGCTAGTCAAGAACTGTATTCTCTATCTTGTCACACAACAAAGGTGACCTGCCTGTGATGAGATACAGCATTGGTTTTTGTCTACGGGAATCAAATATATTTTAACCTCGTCCATTTCTTTCCCTGTCTCTCTCTTTGTGAATGTGGCCAGGGCTTTTATGAGATCATTTGGTGTTCTGTTAGAGAGGAGCAAAACCTCTTGATATGTTATCCAGCTTGTGGCAGACTCGTTCTCACCCCTGAAAGCCTTCCCCTGTCGTACAATATGAAATTGCGCAAATTAATCTAGTCAAACTTTGTTTCTTTGTTTCTCTATCGCCCTGCCTTGAACTTCTGATACATCAAAAGCTGCTTTCTTTTTTTGTGTTTCATCACACCATGCTTGTTAAGTAAGTACTCTTGCATTTTTTTTAAAGCCCTCTTTTCCAGTTGTTTACCAGCCACTGTCTGAGCAGTCTTGTCACTGTACTTTTCTTCACTTAGAAAAAGCCAACAGCTGAAGCAGTAGGTTGTGTCCTTGTCCAGTGAATACTCCAACCATGGCTTATTTTCATACCACATCTAAGAAAAGGTTGACGTGGTCCTCTATCAACACATTTTGACATTGCTGGCCTTACACTTGAGATCAAACGCTTGGTTGTGGACTGGATCTATTACTTTAAAAATGCTTCAATAGGGCCTGTTCTACATTACTTGTACCTTCCTCGATTGCTTCCTCAGACTCAACATTATCCAGTTAGCCTTCCTTTGGTCTCTTTCTCTCCTCTAATATTGCTCGTGAGTTCTTGGTCATCTATGACTTGTGTCAGGTGTTGCATCTGAAGACTTGTCCTCTTTCTCTGGTGTTGCACATAAAGTCTCTTCTCAGGTGTTGCTTGTAAGGCCTACCTTTTTGAAGTCTGAATTATCTGTTCTCTCTTGTGTGCTGCTGCCGCTAGTACTTGGGATTTAACCATGCATTAAGAGATTTGCAACCCATGGTTGCCTCCTGTTGCACCTTCTCCTACCTTTTTTTTTATGTTCTTTCTTTTTTGTCATTGTGCTGCAGGCATTATTAAAATTAATCCTGTTTAATTACTTTGTGATGTTTCACAACTCAGATAACATTCAGCTTCTATTGCCATACATCAGAATGCTGAATTGACATAATACATTATTAATTACTTTGTAATGTTTTATTAGTCTCCTGTTGTTGTTCATCATCGTATGGCACCTGCAAGTAAACATTCCATTGTTTTGTGTACACGTATACTGTTAATGTAACAAAACTACTATGACTTAGCGCAGTGATGATAACTAAATGATCAATTGTCCTGTGATGTCTCCCGCGGGGTTGAGCTCATTACCGTTATGACCACAACTTTTCTTCGATCTATTGACAGAACAAGGTAATGTTATTCCATTGCACAATGCATTTGAAAGCTGTCACTCACATGTCCAGTCAGGAATATGTCCTCTAATTGGTTGATAGACTCAACCCAAGGCGTCATGGCATTGACAATAGCGATGCAATGGATCATAGTTGATCCGGATGGTCGCCCAACACGGTTTTAGAAAAATGGTACTTTACCTCCAGGAGCCCTGTGCCAGCAGCATTTTGACAATGTAAATTACAGTGTGGGGGCTAGTAGTCTGTAATTATATTCCAGACAGGCTACCAGTTTTAAGAAGTCATAATCAACCATGATCCCAGCAAACGGCCAAAATCTTCATTGATCTATACCCTTTTCTGCTTTGTTGGTTTTCGATAAAATTTACAATATTAAAACTGAGAGTCCAGGATGTACTTGCTTTTTGGGCACAATAGCTTCCAGTTTATATTTTATTGCTGAATTACTCCACTTGGTCGGATAGCTGAGCCTTTGCTGACCTCAAGCAGCTTTGATCAGAGCCTATGATGATGGCACGGTGTGAGTGGTATTTGATACAAGTGAAAAAGCACATAAAAGGTATCCTGTGGTGTTTATTACCCAATGTTGGAGTTTTGATATTTGTTGAAACAAAAAAGTGCCTGTGTGGATCTGTTCAGCTCACTGTGGATAGTTCATCTTTTACCATTCTTAGCTACAAGGTGACGATCCAATGACTAAAACGGCAAAAAGGTTGTGATCGTTATGCAGTGATGTTCATAGGTTTTCAATGTAGTGAGTTCCTGGGGCCCACAGGTGGTCATTTGAGTGGGTCCCCAGTAAAATTTTAAAATTTAAAATGTTTTTACAGAACTAATTTAATACTGACACTGAGTCCTTCTACTTCCTGGGCACTATCATCACCCAGGACCCCAAGTTGGAACATCAGCTCCCTCACCAAGAAAGCACAGCAGAGGACATACCTTCTGCGGCAGGAACCTGCCAATGTCAATGATGGTGCACTTCTACATCGTCATCATAGAGTCAATCCCTGCCTCCTCCACCACCATCTGGTACACTTCTGCCACTGCCATTGCCAAGGACTGCCAAGCAGACTGCAGTGCATCATTTGCTCTGCTGAGAAGGTGACTGACTGCAATCTGACACCCCTCCAGGGCCCTGAGGCATGCAGGAAAGATTGTGGCTGACCCCTATCACCCCGGACACAAACTTTTTGAGACACTCCCCTCCGGCAAGAGGCTGCGGTCCATCAGGACCAAAACCTCACAGCACAAGAACAGTTTCTTCTCGACTGCAGCTGGCCTCATCAACCTCAACTGACACTGACTCTTATCCTGCCTCATGGACACTACACTTTACATTAACATACAGTCTCCACGTCTGACTCAATGCATTACGTTAACGCTCGTGTTCCGCATTATCACTGTACATTTCTTTACACTAGCAAAACTTTTTTTCTGATACTGTTTGGGATGAATAAACACGGACTGCACAAACCCCCCGGAAATCAAATTCAAGCAAATGATGCAAGAGGAGAATTTGCTTTCATTCTAAGCAATTTTTACTATGTTTTTGCTTTGCGTGAGAGGATCCTATATGAACGGATTTCTGCCAAATTTGGAACAGTTTTGTGTTTTTTACAATAGATTTTTATTTTATTTGTACTCTTCTCACGGGTTTGAAGTCAGTGGTGCTCGTATTGGGAAAAGGGGAAAAAAACACACCAATCAGAATTCAAAATCAGCATCAGACAGTTGTTTACTAATGTTGCCAGGCCACTGTCAATCAAATCTGTTTGATTTGGATTTTTGTTGCCCAAACTTTAACTTTGATTGTTCAAAGTAGGTTATTAATACTTCAAAATGTTCAGGGTTAATATCTTATTAAATCTATCTTATTTACTGTGTGTGCACCTAAAGCCTAGTCTGTGTAATCTGCAAATAAAACCTTTTGGATAAAAAAAGACACAGTCAGCCTCTCCTCAGGCACACCATTGATGTGATCTCCACTGGTGACATGGTTATAAACACTCCTCTAGCCAGTGTGACAAATCTGGCTAATCACTAACTGTCAGGTCAAATTGCTCTCCAATTCCTGAGGACAGAGTGTGAACCAAGTATGTTTAGGAGAACCTTCAGATGTAAACAGAAACTCAGCTTCGACCTTCTCTTGTCTTTGTGGGTTCTGAAATCTCCACAGCGGGTGTACTGCAAGTGCTGTCTGTCCTTTGAACTGATTCAGAAACCCCATGCTGAAGTGTAATAGTCTTGTATAAAAGCTTTAATCTCTCCAGTGTAAATTAGCCATGTGAACATCGGAATTGTTCATCGCAAACATGGTTTTGTTTTTACATTTTTTACAAGTACAAAATAAACTTTTGTACTGTACAGTTATTCATAATTTATATCCTTGTCTTGGAGTGAATTGCAGACATCAAGTGAGACCTTACGCAATGCATCTGACTGGTGTACTGATCTGTTTGAGTTCGCTCACCTACTGTTTGTGACGAATCCTCCCAACTAAACTAATTAACTATACATGTTGACCCTCTGGCACAAATCATACTTTTGCGATCTATAATGTATACAGACAACTTTATAAAACTGTAGCTTTGATTTTCCTTCAATATTGTATAGATTCCTTTCTATACTACCGAGGGTTTGGTGACCTTACAAATCAAATGGTCTCACAACCTTCAGTAAATCTTTACATACTGATGCAACTTGGCCGATTTTTGGCAGGATAATTTAACTTTAAAGGATTTCATTTCCCAAAAGTCATGAAATATTCATTGGACAGATATATTTCCAGCATTTAGAGTTTGGTTAGAATTAATGTGGTGAAAACCTACTGTTGATACTGTAGTGTAGTCTACTTTAGCTACAGATCTGAACCCCAGAGGTGTGGACTTGAGTCACATGACTTGGACTTGAGTTATAAATTTAATCACTTGAGACATGACACAATATATACATGATTTCACTTTGACTTTGACAGCCTTTTGGCTTAAACATCATATTAGAAAAAAGTGAGCAGCTCTCAACTATTCAGATACTTAGAAGCAGCAGCAGCAGCAGCAGCCTAACAGGGGTTAAAGATACGTTTTTAGCAGTGCACTATCGCATTTGGACATTATCCAAAATGTACATATAGGCAAAACACTTAATTTTTTTTTTTAAAGGTCCAGTGTGTACAACTTAGAATGACCCGTTTTTACAACAGGTGGAGCCGGGTCCTCTTCCACGGAGTCTGCCATGTTTCTACAGTAGCCCAGAACGGACAATCCAAGCACTAGCTTAAGCTCGGCCTTTTACGTTTTTCGTGGCCATCGTTGTTTCTCCTACACACTTCTCCTACACAGAGAGGTTGAGGCCAAGGGTATTCAGTTGGTTGCAATGTGCAACCTCACCACTAGATTTCACTAAATCCTACACTGGTCCTTTTAGACAACATACTTCTCTGCAGCCTATTATATCATTATTATATCTGGTTAATGCGCTTTCTGCAAGCCAGCGTCTATTCAGGGCCACAGATAGTTTGTGAGGTAAAAGAAGAATCACTCTGTAATGGACAGTATGTTTTTGTTCCACAAGGCCAATTAGTGGTGACTATCTCCACTGAAAAAATATAGCTACTCCATATCACTTTCACCTGTTACAACCTCCAGGTTAAAATTTAATTAATCATATCAATATTTTAAGTTGAGCAACTCAGTAGTTGTCAATCAGGACTGTGTATTAGGAGCAGGTAGCTTGTGAAAAATAGTGTGTTTAGTTAGTAGGCTACAGCTGTTACTTCAGGTGCATATTTAATAAGGATTTCATGTCTTCTCTGCTCATCTCATTTCAGGTTTTCTAGGAGTTATGCTGTCACTCAGCTGAATTACTTCTGTCTTCTCAGCCAACAAAAATACAAATCTCAATGAAATCTTTAAAGGTTTATTTTAAACATTTATTACAAATGTTCAGAGTTGAAGACAAATTGATTGAATAAGGGATTTAAAATTAGATTTGGGTTTGATAAAATGATATAAAACCCCAACCATCACTCCCAGGAATGTTAAACCGACACAACTCATCATGTTGCTTTTAAATGTCAGACAACTTATTTAAAGTTTATATACAAAGTTTATAAACGCATTTATTATTTCTGTAAATTGTCCAAACTCATTTCTTTAATTTTTTTTTAAATTGCATTACATTTGGTGAAGGGTGGATAATGACTTCTTTAGTACTCAAAACACAAAATTCAAGACTTGGACTTGTCTTGAGACTTGTTGGTCTTGTCTTGGGACTTCATCACCCAGACATGAGACTTACTTGGGACTTGCAAATACAATGACTTTCTTCCACCTTTGCTGATCCATACAGGAACCCAAGGACAGTCCGATCTAATCTGAATAGAAAAAAAATATTCAACCCAGACAGACCAAAATAGAGTGAGAAAAGTCAACATTGGTAGCAGCGTGATGAGTCACAGATTAATGAGCAGTTGCAGTTGAGAAGAGAAGCACAATCGTTCAAACTCCTCCATCTGCCTTAAAAAAAGCACATTGTTCACGTAATCATTTTGGCACACGACATGACCGGAAATCTGGATCCAGTCAAATCCTGAATAGAGTGGGACTTAAGGCTGGGTATCGTTTAAAAATGTTCGATACCAGTACTGATACCAGTACCCTTAACACGATACAGATACCAATTGAGTACTTCATTCGATACTTTTTTTTTCAACTTAAAAAAAAAAAAGGCAATTGGTTGCGTAAATGTCACAACTCCTCCCCATTCAAAAGATTTTTACACTAATACATTTTGAAAGTGTTCAAATATTTATTTAATAACTGTACAAACATGTACAACGAAGAATTATAAAATATATTTATATTACCTGAAGTTATCGACGGTTGCTCCGTGTTAGGGTGGCCATTTCCTTCACATCAAAAAGGAGTACACTTTGCATACACGGGGACACGCAAGCAGATATTTGTTTGGTATGATCCGGTTTTACATTTAAATGTTTTTCCACCAGATTACATAAAGGTGCATACACATACCACATAGCTAATAATAAATATACAAGATACAGCTCATGACAACGTGGCCTTCCAATTTAGATGACATAGGTCTAATAAACATCATACAGAAACTGTTCTTAATGTTTTTATCTGGATAGATAAAGGGTAAAAAACATACAGCGCCTTCTGTTTCAGATGTATAGGCTTTGCCAATACATATGAGTATGAGCATTTTCAGAATTTCAGTCCAACAACTGACGTTAGCTAAGTTATGTTCTCTGTAGCTGAGAGCTTGATTGACAGCCTGGTGGGTGAGAGTGTTGTGGCAAATCAACACATGGCTCATTTGAATATTAAAATTAGCCATGTGTTGATAGGTCACAATGTAACCAATGAAATTACTAATTTTGACTTTGACTATTGAATAAGTTTTTTCCGTGCGTGATGAGGTGCTTCATCATGTTGCTAGTATTCCCCGTTTTCCCTGAAAAAATCTTGCCGCATTTGATGCATCTATTTGTACCCGGCGCCACAGGCGTGTAGTACAACCATACTTTGGAACGTTTTGCTGCCAGCATCTCGGAATGCTGACCAGCCATACAAAGCAAAACCATAGAAACAGTCATTTTTTTTCTTGATCTGGGAAGTGGGTACAAAAAGAACCGATTGCAGGTATCGTTTGACAGGTGCAGTTTCGATACTACTTGGTACCGGGTTGTTTCAGTCGATACCTGAAAGGTATCGAGTACCGATACCCAGCCCTAGTTGGACTTGATCGGACCGAATCAATCCGACAGGATCTAACATAGGTTGGACCCAATCCAAGTTGGATACAAGGTACCAAGTGGACCTGTGGAGATTTCTAATGTGATTAAGTCTTGCTGATGGCACCTTTTGGTTGAGCCGGCTATGCTGGCATTAAGTTATACAATATTCAACTGCAAAGGTCACTTAATCACAGTGCTATATGTGTGAATCTTTCTCAATCTGCATGTTATTAAAAACATATCTGACTTTAGAAGATATGATTCATCCACATATTACAAACTATATACTCAAACCATGAGATGAATCAAAACCTCTGTGACAGTGTCACTAAAACAACAAAAACTGGACATTTTAAGCTTTACAAATACAGAATATATTGCAGAGCTGTTGTACTGGATTATATTAGGTTGTCAGCTTCATTCCTCCACCCCCAACAGTTTGGCTGTAAGATTTTAAGGGAAAAGAGGACACAATTTGACCATAGTCAGCACGATGAATATGATAGGCTGTCACAAGATTTTAACTCTATTCTACCTTGAATATATTATAATACAAGTGTTTTTTTTTAATATTAAAGAATGTCTGACAGACAGCCTAAGGAGAATATGCAACCAGCATGTGATTGCTTTATGTACAAGTGTCCCACAAGATGGCTTTTATCCTCTTTTGTTTTCAATCTACACAAATGAGATGAGGTTGCAAGACAGCACCATAGTTACTACAATATGCTTTATGGTTCCACATGCCTGCACTCAGTCACACATGAACAAGCTGGTAGAAGCACAGGGCTGATAAATGATAAGCCCAAGAGCCGGGAGACATCAGTTTCCTCTTCCCACACATTTTCCCACACTAGATTACTTTCTTGAGGACACGTCACTAAATTTTTGAACATTGGTAACTACTCCATGATCACCCTAGGAATCCACAACGACTTATATTACATTAATACAAATTTATCCCACTGGTAATGAATCATTCTAGGCCTTTAAATAAATATCCCATTGAAGCTCTTCCTGTCCATCCAGTCATATGTCTCATTAATGAAACCAAGCAATGTTTTACTTCAAATTACTTCAAACTTCACAATTCACACCATTACTAATAATATAAGCATGATAAGCACCAAAGCAAGCATCAGTACACTGGCTTAGAAACAGCATCCCAGCAATAGTGATAAATGTATTTGAGTGTTTCTATGAACTGAACTGAAACTTATATTCTCCTATTTGAGGGTAAGGAAATTTAAGATATAATGATCCTTCAACCAGTCAGATCGACAAAGCATATAATGTAGTCAAATGACAATCATTTCCATCGAGAAAAGTCTTCAGTGTCCTGTACTCTTCTTTTATTGAAGAAATACTCTTCAGTTCTGATATAACTGATGGTAGCAGCACCTATGCTAACCTCTATGGGCAATTGTTGAGTAACTAATAGTGTTGTTTCGCTGTAATTAATCAACAACTTGTGTCTAAAATGTATGAAAGTGTCATTTTTTAACCTGAAGTTCACAAATAAACTAGTTTCTCATTCTCTTTGGAGCCATAATGTCAGTAGCCAAATAAAGGAGCAAAAGATCTTTTTGTGTACAAAGGGTCTTTTGTTTGTGGTGCAGTCAGCCTTTTTCTATACAATTATGGAAATTTTATGGCCTTGCAAGTGTTGAATGTTTGTATGAACGCCATATGAGATTTACTGTTGAGAAGCCTGAAGTTGAGAAACAATAATGGCTTCATAAAAACGTTACCAAAGAGGCTTAGCAGTGACAAAGTAGAAAGTAATGGGAGGTGAAACTGATTTCCTCTGTCATTACAGGCAGTCAGTGAGGCTGAAGTACAGAAGTACAGACTTGTTTTTTGTCCCTTGAATGTATCCACTGTGCGCCCAGCAGCTATTTTTCCACAAAGCCCTGACCAGAAGCTTTAATTTATACTCTGTCTTCTTTGGCAGGAACAGAGCACAACCCTCATTCCAAAGTCTCTTAAAAGAGAATTGGTTGACCTCACTCACATACTGATTGTAACCTTTTTACCCACTGTGACCCCTCAAGAGTGCATCATCTATGAAAAGGTCAATCTTCTGCTGTTCTACTGAAATCTAGATATCGCCTGCAAAAGAACGCACAAACATTTGTATGCTTGTCCTCCCTCTACTGATCAGTGTTATTACCTTTCTCTGCTTTTAAAGTTGTATTATAAGGATTTTAGTCTGCTGTATATTAATTGTAATATACCTTGTTCCTTTTATTAAAATTGCTTGGTGTAATGCATTTGTAGAAGGGTTAAAATGGTAACGTGCACTGTTTATTATCATCAGTGTTGTAGGAGGTATTTGCTTATACTTCAACCAAAAGGGAAACCTAGAGAATAGAACCTGCTACAGTATCAAATGATAGAGGTGGTCGACACAATAATTGAAATACAACAAAAACATATTGCAATAAATCCTATCTTTGGGTAGCTTATAATGCTCATATCTGGCAGGACTGAAAATTTGCTGATTCAAGCCTATAGTTGCTTTTGAGGCCGTTGCTTGTGGTGGTGGATCGGACTATATTTGTGGTTCTTTTATTTTGTCCACGCCCTTGCTGTAGAAAGCTGTTTCTTTGGAGAGGGGGAGAGAGAGAGAGAGAGAGAGAGAGAGAGAGAGAGAGAGAGAGAGAGAGAGAGAGAGAGAGAGAGAGAGAGAGAGAGAGAGAGAGAGAGAGAGAGAGAGAGAGAGAGAGAGAGAGAGAGAGAGAGAGAGAGAGAGAGAGAGAGAGAGAGAGAGAGACTCTCACAGTGACAATGTAAACATGTAGATGTTTAGCAGGTATAATGTTAACCATGTTCAACACCTTAGTTTAACTTAGTGGAAAGGAAAGCTGAGGCTGATGAGAATGTCATGTTTTGTGGATATTTGGTCATAAAAGACACGTTTTGACTTGATGTTAATAGAATTTTTCATATTTGCTTCTGAGGCAAATTAACCTGCAACAGATTTACAAATTGGCAGGAGGCTCATCTGTATTCTATTCATATCAACTACCAAAGGCAGACTGTACAGAACATGCTACTCCCAACCTGAGAATGATGCAACACCTGAAGACCACATGCTGTGAAGTTAGGAAGTGAGAAAAGAAGCTAAAATAGTTTGCTAAAAGGAACTAACAAATGGTTGAAACATCCCGCTTATGCCACTCCAAGTGGTAATGCAATCCGAGTTATCCGTAAAGATGTTCACCTCACTCAGATCTAACCCCTGGAGGTACAGGAATATGGTCAATGGTGGACTAAATAAAAACTTAAAAGCTGCCAAATAAATCAAATCCAACTTTTAATCCTGCCTAAGTTTATTGCACCTGTGTGGAGCAAAACATTTAAAGGTATTTTTATTGAAAACCTGATAAATTAAGTTCAGAAGAACCCATTCGGACTATGCTTCAATGAAAGGGGTACGTTTGACAAAGAAAAATGGTTAGGAACCACTCAGCTATGCTATCTGAAATGTGACCAACAGCATTGTAGAACTCCATCTGGCAGTTATTCACTTAATCTCTAGACAAAAGTATTGAGGCTATTTCTAAATCATTAGAGCTGCTGGGAGGTTTGGCTGTTTGGCTTTAGGTGTTTGCAGATAGTGACTGAGCAGTGAAAGATCAGAGAATAATGCATTAAATTCGAGGGTGGGATTAAATTGCACTGTGTTACGTTTACAGGTATTACTCAGAGATTGTCATAGTGTAAAGTGTGATGTTGGTGCTCTTTTATCTCAGTCGGCTGTTGTCGTCATTTCTGTCCCCAGAGTTAGCCTGTCTAGTTCAATTTCCTGAACATTTTTGCATCCCTTTTTTTTGGAAGGTAAAGATATAAAAATTCAAAGCATACGATCCTTTTCTGTTACACAAAGGTTCACATCAGGCAAAACCAATTAACCCAAAACTAGACCAGTTGAATGGGGTACACAAATGACACATTGAGAAAAGAGGATTAAAATGTTCATTGTGTATATAATTGCTCTGCTTGGCAAAATGTCAATGCTCTTCTCAATTCCAACAGACAAAATCTGGAATTGCTTTGCTGTACAATGAGGAGACCAACAATACCTATGATGTCTGTCTGAAATTGACCAAAGAGGTATTAACCATACAGAAGCTGGATGTGGTTTGCACAAGTGGAAGTGAATCCCAAGTAAATGTAAGTGCGCCAGAAGGCTCCAGACTTCCATTGTAATTCATGCCGCATAACTCCAGAATACTGTTTCAATGTTCACAATATCTTTTTGCCAATAAGAAACTCCCACTTTCTAAAGCACAGAACTGTTGTACTGCGAAGACAGGCGACTGGCGGCCTGGGCTTAAGCATCAAAGTAAGCAGATAAGTTTTTGATTTATGGAGAGACTAAAGTGGAAATGAAGAGGCTTTGGCATGCAGAGTTGACTGTTTGTCTGAGAATACAGTTTTGGCAGCCAATTTCAGCACCGAATCTTAACACCTTTCATTCCCACCTTTCTCTTATGCTTTTCAGGGAGGGGCTGAGCACAACGTGCCTGTGGTTATTTCAAAGATTTTCAAAGATCAAGTAGGTAAGAAAGTATTTTATATCCCTACTGCAATGTGGATATGGAAATGGTTTTCAATGCAGTGGTAAATGTCATTAATCAAGCTGATTATAGAAATGTTAATGAAATTAGGGAGAAGCACTGTATGTTTTACAGCTGACATTTGAGTTCACAATGAAATTTTGAGCATTTTGAGAGCATGATTCATTTCATTAGGTTAGGACACAATCAAAGGGAAAAACAGTCAGTGAAGAGAGAGAGAGAGAGAAATAGTTCAAAAGTTTAACAATTAGCAATTCTGTGCTCTTTCCAACAAGGTGAGATGAAAAGTTTGATATCAATCTCATGTGGTGCCAGTGGTTTATTGTTGCATTTCTTCAAAGCTGGGAAAATTTGTGAGGGACAGATTTTAAAAATGGTCAGAAATGGAAGCAGAGAGAACCTACTTTTCCCATAATGCTATTCAAAAGTGTCTTGAAATTGACCCTCCTTTCCTGGTAAATGCTCACATCTTTCAAACACCAGATCCTGACACAGACTTTCTGTCATATATTTGTAGTCTTTAAACCCTAACATCATCTGGATTATTTTCTTAGACTTTGGAAACCCCCCTCCAGAGCTATAGATTACTGAACAGGCTGAAGCGGTGCTTCTCATGACGAGTGAACGAGAGCTGGAATCAGGAGTTCAGCCTAGTTTAGCATAAAGACGCTACATTGTTGCAGAAATGTAAAATAAGCAGTTTGTGGTTCTACAGGGATTTGGTATACGAGTGTACCAAATCTGGCAACCTTATTGACACCAGAAAGATGCACATAGTCACTGTGCTCTTGTTCGCTATGAAATAGTTCCAGCACATAACTCCCCCTAAAAATAAAAATGGTTGCCGTTACTTTCTTAAAAAGTATGGGTACAAACCATTTAAAGGACCAGTATATAGGATTTAGCACAAAAACATGCAAGCGATTCTATCTATAGCCAGTGTTTGGTTTATCTGGTCTACTGTAGAAACATGGTGGTTCAACATGGTGGAGTCAATGGAAGGCGACTCTTGGTGCCTGTTGATACAAAAGGCTTGTTCTAAGGTAACAAAAAGATAACAGTTCTCATCATCTTATTTTCTTATATTCTTATCTTCATTAATGAAGACAAAGCACAAAACAAAATAAAAATGGATAAATAAAGCATTAAAAAAAACAACTCATTTGTATGATGAATTCTTGGGAAGTGTCACAGCCTGAGGAGGGAGGTTGTCTTTAAGTCTGGTGGTACGGCAGCGGAAGCTTCCGATCCTCTTCCCAGATGGCAGCCGGGTGAACAGGCTGTGGCTGAGGTGGTATTTCAGTATCCTTTGGGCTCTGCGCAGGCACCTCACTTCACCAATATCACTGATACTGAGTACCAATCATCTTCTAGGCAGTTTTACTCACCAGCTGCAGAGTCCTCCTGCCCTGGGCCGTGAACATCCCATGCCAGTTTGTGATGTTTCCAGTCAGGATGCTTTCTATCGCTCCTCTGTAAACATTAAGAACTTTGCATGGGCTCTTTTTTTGGTCTTTTATTTCCCATTCAGTAGCTTTATGGTTGGAAAAACTACTTTAATTTAACAAACAATTCTGGGTAATTAAGTCTTCTTTAGAGGTGTTGACTAGCTGTTTTCCTGTTGGCAGTCTGTGCTAAGCTAGGCTAAACATGCCCTAATTCCAGCTCCTCTAACTCTCAGAAACAAAGCAAATTACCCCCCCCCCTAAATTGTGACAGATTTCTTTCTAAATGAATTATCATTAGTTGGACAATCTACTATTATGTACAAAGCCAATAAGTACAATAATAAGCGGTGAAGGTACCCGGGAGGAAACATAGTTTGCTCTAAAAGACGAGAAAAGGACATGTTGTAATACTTTATTGTTTATTAGGTGTACAGTAGATTTCCTGTGTAAAGAGAAACACTGTGAACAAGTAAACAGTAGCCAGATGGAAGAGAAGATGCTTTATGTTTGTCAGTAAATTTGTAGGAACTCGTGACCTTTCAGTATGCTGTTAGGATGAGCAGAGCGTCATGTGAATGTGCGAATCAACTCCCTGTAATTTGGCCCTTAATACCTTTCTGCATACGGAAGAATCATGTCTTCATATCCCCCCGGGGACGTTAAGAGCCCTTTTCACAGAGCTTTAAGAATCTTTTCACAACAGAGCTTTCATTGTTTTCTCGTGCCGCTCCAAATGAGTTTATATCCTGATTAGTTTCAAATTTCATGCTTTCTTGTGTTCTTTCTCTGAGCTGTAGGATGTTGCCAGAGATTAGTCAGACAGAGACACTGATTGCTATTTCCACCACATTACCACGTATGAAATGAGCAATTATTTTCTAATGTTTTCATTAACCTCTGACACTTGACATTCGACGCCTGCAGCCGATCAGACGGGGAAGCTATTCGTCGGGGACGCTGTGTTGCAGGTTGGTACATCAGTTCATGACTTATTTGCTTCGAGGTTGATTCGGGTCCGTGCCAAGAGTCGTAACTTGTTGCATCTTAATTTCAACCCTCTTCTGTTTTGACAGAGTGTAATTTCATTCATGAAAAAGGAGGAGGACATTTTTTAAATTTGAACGGCATGATTTTAATCAAATGAGTCTTTTAATGTGTGTCTGCACTTTTGAAGAGATAATCCTGAGTTCAAATATATTCTCACTGAATCACAACACACACTTTCAGTTTAACTAAACAAAATACCTCAGTGTCAGATTCTGTGGTAGATTTATTATAAGGTCACCAACAAATAATAGTTTCTCTTCATTAGAATAACCATCAAAACCCAGAAGTGTTTAATAATGACATTCATTTAATCTTTTAAAAATGTAATTTGAATCTGTCTGGCAGGTTTATTGGATGTGCTGTTTATCTAGAATATCAAGCAGATTCATTGGACAGCCAAGCAATATTAACATTCATATTGGAAGACATTATGAAGTGTATTATGAATTGAATTGCTATTGCTTCCACCTTTGGTTCACCACTGTTTCACATTTATTTGCAGTGGCTTATTTGAATTGTCACACTTCAGAATATTGCAGCTATTTACATACTTTATGCTATGACAGGAAAGGCAGCAAATCAGGGGTGGGCTCAGAAACTTTCTAATCTAATATGTAATAATATTAATAAATAGCTGCTATAGCGCACAGCCGTGGACAGATTGAGACAATGGGCCCCTGTACCACAGACATGCAAACATGTAGACCTCCTACAAAGACACCCAGACTCTATGGTCATTTTTAATCTCTTGAGGTCGCTTCACATCTCTTTGTGGTCGCTTTGCGTCTCTTTGTGGTTGCTTTATGTCTCTTGTGGTCACTTTATGCCTTTTAAGGTGGTTGTGTGTCTCTGTGGCTGTTTGGCATCCCTTTGTGTTGTCATTTTTGTGTCTCTGCAGTCATTTTGTGTATCTTTGTGTTTGTGCTGTCTCTCTATCTCTTTATGGGTGTGTTCTGTCTCTTTGCAGTTGTTTGATTGTAGAAATGTTAAGTAAGTAAGTAATTAATTAGTTAATTAATTTCATACAGAGGTTTGAAAGTCCCAGCACACCCAGTAGTCCTGTTCAGTAACCCATCCATAATATGAAGTCACCTAGCCTCCACACTTTTTCCAGTGTATAGACTGAGTTTACTTATTTACTTTTCTGCTCTCTCTGTTGGTTTCTTTAGGTCAATGGCATAAATGTAGAGCCTTGTACTCATGAGGAAGTTGTGAGTAACTCTAATTAATTTGCCAATACCCTTCTCCATCTATCCATTGCATTCCATCCTTCTCCCAAGGGTCCTAAATCCCAGTAGCTATCAACACAGAGGTGCGCCTCAACAATCTGCATTGTCTTCTTGGCAGGAGACTGTTGTATTTGGTTTACGCTGTACCAAATTGAAAAGATTGAAGATGAAGATCGGTATGAAAAGCTGCACAGCAATTGAGGGCGCTAATATTTGACAGCGTTTTTATACTATTTAGCTTCTCTTCTTGTTAAATATTTTCTTTATTATCTGCCACCATCCCCCATCTGCCCCCCCACCCCCACACCCACCCCTACACCCACCCCTACACCCACCCCTACACACACACCACACCCACACACACACACACACACACACACACTCACACTCACACTCACACTCACACACTCACTCACAAGCACACTCTCACAAGCGCACACTCTTCCCATGTCTGTCATCTCTGTCTCCTCGTGCAGCCCCAAACAGCTGTTCACTATATTCACCTCCAGAGCGTCAAAACACATAATGAGCAGTTTCTCTTCAGAACAAAATCCAGAGCTTTTAATGGCAGGCTGTCACACTCACAGCACTGACAGATGCTCAGGCTAAAGTAACAAGGGCTACCGAATCGTGTTGGAGAGGATAGTGAGAGATCTGATAGCAGATGTGCATTTAGGGTACGTGGAAGAGACCTTGTTTGTTAAATGTGACCGTCAAGTGTCTGATTTGCTCTTTCATTTTCTCTCTTTTCCAAGATGCATGGAAGATGGACAGATTTTTATATATTTTCCTGTAAACCCAACCTTACTCGAACGCCTCTTTAAAACTATGACTCGACATCTTTGAGGACAAATTCTACATCACGTAGACATCAGATAATCAGACATTCAGAGCGTAATTACTTTGTGGTGTCATCTGTCACTTTGCTGCCGCCTGTCATGAGAGAAATGCCGGCCTTCAAGTTCTGACTTTGATGATTTAAGTGAAGCCACTTCTGTCAGGCTGCAACGTATGATTTCATATTCTTCACTCATCCCCTGTTTTATTTTGTTTGCACAAGCTGTGTACAGCTTGACATGAATGTGGCTTGTTTCAGATTAAATTTTATCTCTTTGCATCACTCACAATCTCTCTCTTGCTATCTATCTCAATCTCTCTCTCTCTCTCTCTCTCTCTCTCTCTCTCTCTTCTTTTTTTTTTTTTTTTTTTTTTTTCGCTCCTGTCAGGTTCACCTCTTACGCACTGCAGGAGATGAGGTCACCATCACTGTTCGGTACCTGCGAGAAGTTCCATCATTTCTGAAGCTGCCTCTAGGTAAGAGTCCTTTTTAGTTTTAATGCGATGCAAGCTCACAATAAACTTCATTCCACTGAGCATTTTTGGCAATAAAGGAATAAAGCACATTTACGGGAGATTGTCTTTTTGCCCACTTTGACGCTTTAAAGCAGTTCAGTAGATGAGCATTTATTTCAAAGTAATAGATTGTTATGCTCAGTGGCTTGAGGCAAGCAGTAATGTCAGAAACACCCAGAGCTGCAATCGCCTGCTCCTGTAGTTACCTTCAGCAGCTTGAAGAGAATGAAAACACAGACACTAAAATCGGCCATGTGGAGCCGGTAAAAGGTGAGACAGGTGAAAAAATGATAGCAAATCTGAAAATGAGAAATTTGAAGCGGCTCTTAAGAAAAAAAGTGAATTTTGAAAAGTTTAGCAATTTTAAGCATGGTTTTATAGTAAGTGGGACTGCTTTATCTTTTTTTATATTAAGTGTTATGTCGCATGACCACTGTTTCCGGTGGCACTGCTCAGCTAGCTGTGCTGCTTGTGCAACTCAACTTGTGTTTTCTTTTCTTTTATGTGTTTATGATTGTGTCTTTGGTGTACTATATATGGTTTTGTTGATATATATTGTAAAGAAGTTGATTTCAGCTGTGTAGAGCACCATTGCCCAAGCCTTCCTCACAGGGAAAATAAAGTGTGTCTAATCTAAATTACTGCGCAGTGGAGGGGGTAGCTAACCTGAAATAAATGGATAGATATAGATAGAAACCTATATATAGATAGAAATCAGGGAAGACCCAATTGAGAGCAAAGTTCTTATTCATAAGAGTACCCTGCAAATACATAAGATCAGCTATACAATGCAAAGTGTAGTAAAACTAACATTCTTTTTCAACATAAATATGACACAAACACAAGACAGTTGACTTACAAGAAATTACACTAAAACAAATAGATCAGACAAATCAGACACATTAAGAAAAGGAAGCATTCTTAGCTTCAAATCTGAGATATATTTTAACTTTTAGTTATAATAAAAAAACAAAACTTGTTAAAACAGAAATATCAACCTTTGTGTTGTGGATAGTGATCATACATAGAAGACAGTATAATGTCAGTACTGGGGACAGTCTGGCTTACACACATACACCCATTGCTACACTGGGATGTCGTGTCACACACGTCGTGTCATAACTTATAGCCACTGAAAACTTAAATCTGTTTCTTTATAAGCTTAAATATTCATGACTAAATATTTTATTATATTTTAGCATTGGTAATTGTTTACTTTAGAAGTTAAAGTTTGAAAAAAAAAACATATCCCTAGCTATTATTTATATATTGTGAGTTTAACACACTCTGTGTGGGTGTGGTTTAAGTAATTTTTCAAGCACCATTTGATGGTTTTAGCTTGTGAAGTGTTTAAGAGCAGTGGCTCCCAACATTTTTTCTCAAAGGATCCCTTTTCTATCATTCGGCTTACTGACGACCACTGACATATATTATGGATATTTCATATTACATTCAAAACTGTTCAATGAACCCAAATCGTGGACTCAGTAACTGCAGGTTTGTGTAAAACAAGTGATGTAGATGAATTTTGGACAGATTAGTTCCTGTTTAGAGAATTTTATACAATTCTGTCTGCATTATGTATTTTTTATAACAATCATAAATATGTAATAAGCTTCTTTTTTGACAAATTCAGTTTTTTTCTCCCTGATGCTTAGAGGCAGCAACTATATGGCGATTGTTCTATTAGACAATTTACTTTACAGAAGTGAACCAAATGCTGAGATATAGGCCTACTGTATATATTTTTAAGTTTTCTAGCACCCCTTAAAACCAAGAAGGCCTAGAGACCCCCCCTTGAATCTTTGGTGAACCTTAGTGGTGGTCTTGAACCACTGTATTAGAGACACAGCAAGTTTCCATCATACAGGTTTTCTTCTCAATATTAAAAAAAGGGTCTTAGGAGAGTTTTAACTCTCAAACAATGCAAGCTGAGAAGTCTGCCAATATGCTAATCATGTTTATTTAGAAACTTAATTTAATGGGTTGATTGAACTCTGTACAGTACATTCGTTGAACATGTTGGAAAAGCTAGTGTTTCTAAGTTCTGAAATTGACTGAAAATAAAAACTAGAAATAGACATTTTAAGTTTAATCAATTTGAAACAAATAAAACTTATATTTATGTTACATTATAAGAGAAGATTAGTTGATTCTACTAAATTCTTGTATGACTTGACAGTGAACGTCTTTTGAACCAAATTTTTTGGACAAATTAAACAAAATAAATATAACGTTTTCATTAGGGAGCTTTGAACTACACGGACAGAGCCAGGCAATCTGTTTCTCCCTGCTTCAAGTCTGTATCCTAAACTAAGCTAATATCCAGACTACTAAGCCACCAATATTTGTTGTCTTATGAATTAACTGCAAGAAAAAAGTGAATGAACACCACATGATGATAATTTTGTACAATCTACCTAATTATGAAGAGAACACAGATGTAGACAAATAATAAATACTAATAGATGGCACGAATATTTTTAGTTCGGTTGATAAACGAGAGCTGTGAGAAATCCAGTCTTCATATCTTGTGGGTAAGTTAACATTCATAGGAAGGCGTCAGTGTAGGGATGCTCAGCTTTTGCTGTAGGCTGTTTGGCCGGTGAATCGTTTTTTGTTGCCTGAGAACGAAAAGGTTCAAGTTGTGTTCTCTTTAAGCCGTCCTTTGTTTTACCATGGCACAAATGACAAGCAGGAAAGGCCCAAAGCCGTTTTCTGAGTGTGACCAAATCAGAAGGCAGGTCTTCTACCGCCAAGCTAATATCTTATCAAAGAGCAGCATTTGTCTGTTTTGGATGCTATCCGCGACCTACAATGCACTGCACAGCTTAAAGGCAGGGCAACAGAAGGAAGTCAATAATAAACCTTAAAATTCAGCACTATGAACTGGGCCGTGGTGTTTGGGGTTTAGGTGATTCTCTTTGTTTCTGAAGGAATTAAATAATAATAGACACAACATGAAGTTGGACTAAATGTTTAACAGTGATTCTTCAGAAGTCTTTTTGTAAAGAACATGAAGCATTCTCCTTTCTTTCTCAGGTTCTCCTGGGCCGTCCACTGATCACAGCCGAGTTTCCTCTCCACTCTTTGACAGTGGCTTACATTTAAATGGAAATGGAAACAACACAGTAAGAAAGATTCATTTGATGTTCACCGTATAATGATGGATTGTGTTGGATTTGTCTCCCAATCAGTAGCTATCTTTTTAATTTTTAAGTAACTGACGCTTTCACATTTAATTTAATTTAATTTAATTTCTCTAATTTCAGTAGACTAAGCCAAAATGATCTGGAGTTCTGTGTTTGATGTTTAAGTTGGTGCATGTTTAAAAAAATATATAGAAAATGTTAATTGTAAATGTGAAATGTTAATATTTGTAACACATCCGAAGGGGCTCATTCACTACTATAATTACTACCTTCTAAATAATGTGTTAGTAAAATATCTTGACAGACTAGTTCACTTCAAAGTTAAATATGCTTTTGAATCAGCAGCACTTTTAAAGCAGCCCTGTCGCTTTGTGTTACCAGTGAGTTTTGTCAGAATGAAGAATTAAGTGTGTACATGACGATTGCTAAATTGTCATTTAAACATAACATCAGCTACAGTTACATTTTGAAAATCATATGGTTGGAGCTTTAGACATGATGATGCTCTGTGAACATATACTTGGCTTGCAATTTTATAGATGTGCAGTCTATACTATCGGTGCATTAAGCCCATTAGGAGTCCATTAAGACTGTCAGTACCATTCACATTGACAAATGATCGTCCTGCGTATAGAGCCTGTCCTGCTGTGCGTACATGAACCAGGAGAGAGTGAGTGAGTGAGTGAGTGGCCTAGCTTTTGAAGTATGTATGTGTAATGCTCTGTTAATTAAGCTTCTTAATGTATATGTTATGTATATTTATAATGGGCATAAAAATACATTACAAGACAATTCAAAACCTGATCTAGGAGTACTTTGTGTTGTTTCAAAGGCTCAGGTGGAACAGCCAGAATCTCCATCTGGCTCCTCTATCTAAAAATGGTTAGCATTTTTACATGTATGTCAGCCAAGGCTGCATAGACATTTAAATTCAAATAGAAATAGTTCATCTGCATCTGGACCTCGTTCTGCATCACACAAAGTGACAAGCACAAGATAAATGTGCCACACAAATGCAGGTCTTATTCTGGTTCCAGTTAGTGCAATAGACCGTTTTTCAGAGTAGACATTCAAAAGTCAAAGACAGTCAAAGTAGAAAGGAAAACATTAACAATGGCTTCATTCCATCAAGTGTCCCAGGAAGACATGTCCGTGAGTGAGCCTGCATAATACGAGAGCCCTGTAACTGGCTCACCTAAATGGAATGGAATTGTTAATGTTAATTCCACCAGTAGTTTTCCTTGTTTGACAAGCCAAAATGTCTGGGTCTGTCTCTCATGAGGAAATGATGACAATGTCAAATGATGAAAACCCTGACTTAGACCCCTTGTTAAGTTAAAGTAGGACGGAGTATGGCTGGGATTTATCTGAAATCACAAAAGTCTATGTATTAATAACAGTTATAAAGGCGTAAGTAGTCCCATTCTTGCAGGTCCAACCAGGCTAACAGCACAGAGTTGAGGAGATGACAGGAGACATTTTACACGGCATAGCAGGGAATATAGGTTATATAGAATATAGTTTGCTGTTTTACCAGCAGATAGTTGAATTTTTCAGTGAGTTCAGTAGACAGTCTGGTTTCAGACACGGTGCAGGGGCTGGAGGTGTTTAGCCTCACACCATAGTTGAATAATTCACCTGTTGTGTCTTATTAGCATTCTTGCTAACCACTGTAAACCTACATTCAGAAACACCTGGGATTTGTTGAGTGTTGAAGGGCATGTGTGTAGGTTAACAGTCAGGATAATGCATCAAGCTTAGCTCTATCACCAGACATAACTATTGAGTAATGGTGAATTCCATTTGAACTGGGAAATCTAAATTTCTGAGTTTCTATTTGGAAATTTCAACTGGAACGCCCCCTGAAATCAAATTACCAACTAGGAAGGTCGGAAGAACCTCTCAAACCCCAACCTCAGAAATCCAAGATGGCTGCTCAACTAAATGAACGCTGTAGTGATATACTGTTTATTAGCGCTTCTGTCTGTGGACATGTTCGTATGAGCAAAGTACTACGTAACGCGTTGTTTTCAAATGGTATTGCTAACAATGGCTAAGGACTAACCTGGCTAGAGTTTGGTTTTCTGACTTGTTGTACTTGAATGTGGTCAATTTCTGAGGTAAATGGAACGCACCATAAGTACCTCCAAACTGTAGGCTGGCCGTTTGTTTGGCCACACAGTTTAATTTCCTGTTTCTACACGTTTAAATACAGAATGTGACATCTGGGTGTTGAGACCAGATATTTTGTTACACTGTTTTAAAATTAGTTTTGATGTTGAGCAATTAGTAATTTAATTGTTTTTTCAGTGAAAAGTCTGTAATTAGTAACTAATTACATTTTATTTGTAACTTAGAACAATGGGCAAAGAGCCTAAAGGACATAAAACATGACCCCTTCTTTATGTACATTTCTGGCAATGTGTAAACACAGCTTTAGATTACCAAAACATTTACTGAAGTAGCCTGCCGTACTGTTGTTCATAAAACATGAATTCATTTTTTGGTGGTTTATCAGTGAAGAAAGTACCTGTTGTAACACACACCCACCAGAATCAGATAAAACCCTGCAGTTTACAGTGAACCTCACTGCATTAGTGACAGGATTTCACTTAGCGTTGGTAGGCAGCAGGGGCATAAATACCACCAATCAACTCTATTCATTGGCTATAGAAACTTTCTGCTTTTATCACTTTAGCTAGCTCAGCAGGGCTAACCACTAGCTGGGCAGCAGCAGCACTATCAGCTGCTGCCTGAGCCTCTGCCTCTCTTTGTGGACTATGGCTCATACAAATCCGCTTTGACTTTGACTTGTTATTAAATGTGAAGTAATCCATAACGCCCTCTATGCATATATGCTAGGACAGTGTTTGGCTGTCCAGAATGTGGGTCCCAACCCTGATAGCTGACTGCTGTGGAGCTGGTCCCCTGGCAGAGGGACGAAGATTAAACTTCTCAACCAAGCTCTCCCTGTTGTTCTTCCACCATGCACTGATGTCAGAATAGTTTCGAGGGTGATAAAAGTAAATAGGGTGTTAGCTACACTGCTACAGTGACTATATGCAAGTTTTGTGGATGTTGTAGACAACTCCTGTGTGTACTCCTTCATATAAATGCATATAAGTCTGGGTGATTTTTTTTTTATTTTTATTTTTTACTTAGAGTATTTAACTGATTGATTTGATTTGATTTGTCTACATATGCCACATAATGGCACACGATATTGGAAAAAAATGAATACTAAAGTGTATTCATTGATTATTGAATGTTGAAAGTGGGGAATTCCAATGTGTTTAATTTTCATCTCATGTCAACAGCCACATGATTCATGTGTGATCTCTGCACACAATAGCAATACAACAACACAAATGCCTGTTTAATCTCCTGTAAAACCAGTTCAGTCAGTGGCTGTGCTTTCTTAGGGTCAAAAGAACAATCAAAATAATTCATTTGTTCCATGTTATCCTGCAAAGCTGTTATTTGCTCCTTGAGCTTGCTTGATCTTAGAGTGGTTATGGATGAGATTACAGTATACACCGCTGGAATGATAGGAGGGAGTAGTTTCACCGTAGCTGCTGATTCCACAGAGGAATTTTACCAATCAATCTTACCAAAGCACAATGTGATACAGTCAGCCCATCCCCTGTATCAACAGGACAAATTCAGCACTTCCTTTAACTTCACATCCTAGAAGAATGACTCAGCTAACACTCATAATGACTAAATAAATATCTATAGGTACAACTGTTGCTCATGCTGCAGAAATATCAAGCAGATTGGACTTGACGATGCTGTAGAGCTCTTCTGGCCAAACGTTACTTACTGTGAAGGGTGAGGAGCCAATATTTCACAGTTTTTAATGGTAAGGCTTGGGATATTGCATATTAATATGTTAATCTATAATGAAAAGATTAGCTGTAAAGACTGCATCTCTTGCTCATCTCTTGACATGAATTATTCAGAGAAAGCAAGAGGGACAGCAGGTGGCCACTTTAACCTTTCATAGGTAATCTAGATTTAAAGTCTTTCCATTTAAATCCAGGAGATGGAGAAGGAAAAACATCCCTGTGCACTGGGCCTTTGGATGGTCTGCAATTCTTCCAATTCCCAGTATGTGCACTTGGTTTGAGGAAAAAAAAAACCCTGATACATGCCTATGCAAGAACAAATGAGCAATGACTCAGAGTGACATAATAGGTCAGCCAGCTCTAGCAGGGATCTATACATTTAATTCTCTAGTTGAAGACTCCAAATATAACATAACATGTAAAAACACAAAATAGCAAGAGCTGGCCTCCAGTTAGGTTTTGCTCATATCAAGCAAGATTCTTCTTGCCTTGCAAATAAGGACTATTATGTGAGTGGTTGTTTTTGTTCTTAGAGTAATTGCTTGTTGTCGTTTTTTCGTTGTGAATGCACTTTAATGTTCGGAGTGTAATGATGGAAAGCCTCCAGATAGAGATTTGCAGGAAAGTAGGGCAACCCATAACTTTATTTTTTTTCCCCAAAAAGAAAAAAATAACATTGCATGCCATTAAGCAACTCTGCATCGTATGAAATAGTCTGTAATAGAGAGGGTCATTAAGCCTGGTTGAGCACGGGTTGGAATGCTAAATGACCTCCACATGTACTACACAACTTTGGCACATTCTGTACAGTAAAAGAGGAGAGAGGAAATCTAATTATTTTTTTTTTTGCTGTTGACTGTCACTTTGACACTTTGAATAAACATATACTTTACTTAAATGAGAATTCTGGATAGAAAACATTTTTATGGATGCATCTACATATATATATATATATATATATATATAAAAAGTAATAATATAATAACTTTGATTAATAAAGTTCCTCAGGGCACCACCCTTAAAGAAGAGAAACAATAGCAAATAATTCATTGATTCTGTCTAATGAAATAAACTAAACTATACATTTGGAAATGTGATTAATAATTAAATTAAAAACTATAACCAAAATTA